TGAAAGAAGAGTTATTAAGACTTGAACATGAAGTAACGAACATAACAAATATCCAACATAAGAAAACGCACCAGCCACTTTCATTGTTTTTCATTGACCTCAAGCAAAAACACAACAATAAGGATATCTTTAATGTTAAAAACCTAATGAATTGCATAGTGGAAATAGAGACCCCATACAAGAAAAGGGAAATAGTCCAGTGCAAGAGATGCCAACAATATGGACACACGCAAAGATACTGTAACCGTGACTTTCGTTGTGTAAAATGCTCAGAACTACACCCTACTATCGAATGCAAAAAACCAGAAAACTCTCCAGTTAAGTGCGCTCTTTGCGCGGGTAATCATCCTGCAAGCTACAGAGGCTGGTCAGTATACAAAGATCTACAAGAAAAAACATTTCCAAAACCAAGGGCCAAAAAATTATCTAACGATCCACCTGGGTCCCCCTTGATACAACATCAAACAACGACTACCATTCTAACTACCAGTACACATATGCACAAGCTGCAAAGCATAATACTAGGGTACAACCCACTGAAGACAATACTACGCAACAAAACTTCAACTTTATCCATACACTTGAAAAATCATTCACCAAGCTAGAACAAATACTTGTGAAGCAAAATGAACAAATCATTAATATGCTATTCGACTTGATAACTATAGTAACAAAAATAGTAGCAAAATCATGAACAATAAGCCTTTACGCACTGCTCTATGGAATATAAACGGACTCACACGACGTAAAAATGAGCTAGAACCTTTTCTTACCAGCCAAGACGTACACGTAATACTAATTACGGAAACTCACTTCACTGTTAAAAATTATTTAAAGATTAAAGGTTACGAGACATACACTACACATCATCCAAGCGGAAAAGCACATGGTGGAACTGCCATATTAATAAAATCTAATATAAGCCACTTTGAGCACCCAGCTTACAATCATGAACATCTACGGGCAACTAGCATAGTATTACAAATCCTCCATAGCCTTATAACCTTATCAGCTGTATACTGCCCCCCCAAGCACAGTATATCAAGCACAGTATATATACTTCGAGACATTCTTCTCAACACTAGGCAACAAATTTATAGCAGGTGGTGACTTCAACGCTAAAGATACCTCCTGGGGATCAAGAATTATAAATCCAAGAGGCAGATCACTCTTCAAATGCATGCAGGCATGTAAACTAGAACACGTGAGTACTGAAGAACCCACTCATTGGTCCACGGATCAAAATAAAATACCAGACTTATTGGATTTCTTTCTCACCAAAGGCATTTCATCTCAATACATTCAAGTCCACTCTCTTTCTGATCTCTCATCAGAGATCTCTATCTGCAACAAGTACACAAAGTGGACTCTCTTCCGTGAACTTCTTGAAACCAAAACTACATCAAACCAGCCTCTAAAATCGGAAAAGGACATAGAGGATGCAATAGAATACCTTACTTACCACATTATTGAAGCGGCCAGATCAGCAACTCCTGAAATCCACTTTCATTCTCCCAAGGACACTTATCCGGATCACATATCCAATTTGATTTGCGAAAAACGGAAATTGAGAAGAACATGGCAGAACCATAGAACGCCTGACAACAAGAGATTATTAAATAGAGCGACCAGAAAACTCAATCGCTTATTATCCCTATTCAAGAACGAATCCTTCAACCGTTTCGTGAGCAGCCTGTCTTCCTCTAAAGCCACCGATTACTCACTCTGGAGAGCAAGCAAAAGAATCTCAAAGCCACAAAAGAGAATCGCTTTTATCAAGAACTCGTAAGGTAATTGGGCCAAAAGTCCCCAGGAGAAAGCAGAAGCTTGTGGCTCATATTTTGCCCAAGTTTTCAAACCTTTCACTTCAAGCTCTCAGGAATTCGCAGCTGAACTAGAAAAATATCTACAGGCACCTTACCAATTGTCTCCTCCTATCGCACCGTTCACTCATCGGGAGGTTCAACTAACGATAGCCACCATAAACCCTAAAAAAGCTCCGGGTCACGACCGAATAACCGGCAAGATGGTCAAGAAAGGAACTTCCGAAGAGATGCATTTCGTTATTGACGTCAACCTTTAATGCAATACTACGTCTGGGTCACTTTCCCACCCAGTGGAAAGTTTCCCATGTTATCGTAGTGAACAAACCTGGAAAACCAGAACATGAAATAGCATCGTATCGTCCCATTAGTCTTTTACCGATCCTTTCAAAATTATTTGAAAAATTATTTCTTAATCGTCTCGAACCGATATTGATAGACTTAGATATTATTCCCGAACACCAATTCGGATTTAGAAGATACCATTCAACTATACAACAAGTCCATAGACTGGTGGACTACATAAGGTTAGACCTAGAGAAAAAAAGATACTGTTCCGCAGTCTTCCTGGACGTCAAGCAAGCCTTTGACAAAGTTTGGCACGTTGGCCTCCGCTATAAATTAAAAAAACTACTCCCACATTCATACTTTACGGTTCTACAATCGTACCTAGCCGATAGGAAATATAAAATTAAATTCCAGGATGTAATCACTCCAGCCTATAAAATCCACTCAGGTGTGCCCCAGGGAAGCGTTCTAGGACCGATACTATATCTCATCTACACTTCAGATATACCAACCACTCCAAATGTCACAACAGCCACGTTTGCAGATGACACGTCAGTCATGGCCTCACACAATGATCCCCTGGAAGCAACCAAAGTTCTTCAAGAGCATCTGGACAATTTATCATACTGGTTTAAAAATTGGAACATGCAAGTAAACGAAAAGAAATCTAAACATGTGACCTTCACCCTACGCAAGCAAACATGTCCTCCAGTTAAGATGAACAACATTGTAATACCCCAAAGCGACTCGGCTAAATATCTTGGAATGATCCTGGACAGAAGAATGACATGAAAAAGACACATCCAAACCAAATGTAAGCAGCTGAGGCTTAAAATGAAAAAACTGTATTGGCTGATCGATAATCGCTCTAAACTAAAGATGGAAAACAAGCTACTATTATACAAGATCATCCTCAAGCCTGTCTGGACTTATGGTATACAGCTATGGGGCACGGCCAGCAACTCCAATATCAAGATCATACAGAGATTCCAATCTAAAACGCTACGTAACATATGTAACGCCCCATGGTACGTTACAAACGACGTAATACATCGTGACTTGGCTATACCTTTAGTAAAATGCGAAATCACCCAATTTAGCAAACGCCACATAAGTCAGTTAACGTGTCACAAAAATCAATTAGCTAGAAAGTTGTCAAATCCAAATAAATCTCCATTTAGACTAAAAAGATTCGCTCTCCTGAACCTGGTACGTCGATTCTCCTAATAACTCTAACTCCATCATTGTACTACACATACTGCAGGTAATCAACCGATGCAACGATCTACGTATTTGCTTTTCATGTCACCCATAAAGCTATCATTTTTACTTATAATTCCCATTTGAGGAATTGATTGTAAAACTCGTGAAGTCAATAAGAAAAAAAAAAAATTTGTTTCTTGACACCCGGGTTATCATTTGTCGCAACCGATTTTCACATAAACAGGTAAAATTTATAGAAATGTAAACTGTAGTTAATATACCTCTGTATTATATCAGTCCATATGTAGCATATGCATACAGTGCATTGTTTTAAGAAACACTGAAAACTACAGAGTGTGCTATTATTTTATTATTTAGTGTATATTAATATCTTGATATTATACAATATGATACAGCCACATATAAATGTACAACGATAGTGTTGTTTAAATTCGATCATTTTCATTTTTATTCGATTAATTTCAAACATCATTTTGTTTCCTTTTGCATTTTTCTCTTTCCGATATTTTTAATTCTATTTATTACACTTTTCTCGACATCATATAATTATTATTTGAATAAGATAATAACAGTTGATAACATATACACACAATGTTTGTATACGTTCTTTTTCATACATATATTATTTCTTAAGTTATGTCACTTTTAATTAAATTCTTTTGAAAAACAAACAAATAATATCGAATTTTAATATCGAATACATATTTCTATATATATGTTCTTAACAAAAATTTTCGAATTATATAAACAATAGATCATACGTAAAGTAAACGATGAATATTGAAAACATAATAAATTAACAAAAAAAATAAATAAAAAATATGCATTTAAAAAATTATATGCAATCATGTACTAATAAACTGCGCAAGCATTATAGTATTAAACTATTCAGAAAATTCGTTCTATTCTAGAACGTGGATTCATGATTTATATTTTTTAACTTGCATTTTTCTTCATAGGTAAACAATATCTACCTCTTTATTATTATTTCTTATTTTTCAAATATCCTTGTTTTATTTTTTGTCATTTTCGTTAACAAAATCTTTAAAATGTTTTGAACATATGAAATATTATAGTAATCTGAATAAATGACATTGCAACGCTACAATAAATTAATAATCAAATAATGGATGGCATATATTTTTTAAAGTAGTATCATTGTAGAAGAACATTGTCTCAATGTGAAGAATGCATTATTTTACAATTTACAATTTTTATATTAATTGCACTAAATATACTGGAAATTTTATTTGAACATAGTACTAATTTCAAATGTCAGCTCTGCTTTTTTAATTTCTAAAACTAGTTTCATATCACCTTTAGACATAATACGTCTGAAAGATATTTTAGTTTTGTAGCACAATAAAATACAAATCGAATATTATGAACTGCTATTATAATTAATTTCGCTTAAAAATATTATTCGAATAGACATTTTGAAACGACTATTAGTACAATCATTGATATTTTATATGAAAACATCTTTATCGTAAAAAAGTATAAAATTGCGTAGAATATTATTCGTACATACATCGATAATCATAAAAGTGCAATGATATTAATTGACAAGCACAAAAAGTGCATAATAACGTACAAAATGAATATACGCAAATTATTATTATTATCTATTATGTAATATGTTACAAAACCTATCGAAATACATACCTTTTATATGACATGTCACGATACACTATAAATAAAGCAGAGGTACTAAAATAAATAGAATGAAAAGAGAAGTAAGATATATTCGATAAGAAATCAACGACTGATATCAACTTACGCACCTCACCACTGTAGCAGGGTGACAAACTAAATTCCAACGAATTCATTGAGAACGACAGATAATGAAGTAAAGGTTTCCAGGTCATGATAAATATTGAGATTTACATCCGGCTGGGACTATTGTGCCTTACTTTTCTTATGTTATATGATGGTATTCTTCGCATACTTATTCATTTTAATCAATAAACCTATTCACAAACTTGTTGTTATTTCTTGACAATAATGATATGCACTAAATCATTGCATAATACCACAGAAATTGTATAAGTAATTTACTATATACGTATATTTGTCTCAGAAGATTATCTCTTATCATTAGTCGAATATAAATCGTATCATATGCCATATTTTTTCTTTAAATGATTTTCTTTGCATTTACATACATATGTTGGATAATGTAGTTTTTCGTGTACTGCACAGAAGCTTCAATAAACACTTGTACTTATATTTTATACATTAAAATTATTAATTTAAGTAATTAATTATTTTAATGCATTCACGTCGAACTTTTATGATATTTGCATATTTTTAATTAGAGTAATTTTTTTAAGCAGCTCAAAAGAGGTATATGTTTTTTTATTAAAAATACACAAACGTTATTTATAACTTTTACCCTAACTTTTTGAACTCTTTATGTTTTTCTTACATTTAAATTTTCTCAACTAATCTTGCATACGTGTATTTTCATTTTTGATCTCTTATTCTATACAGCCATTTCTAGGATAGATCAAGCCACGTTCATTTAAAATCTTGAGTGACCATACATCCCTTGGTTAGATATTGAATTTACCCATTCAGACCTTTCACTTGTCTTTCACGACTCCTTTCACTTACTATATTTTAAACTAAAGATTCCTCATTTTCACTTCTATTGTGTTAATGCGGTCTTTATTCGCATCATATAAACTCTATCATTTTCATGATAAAATCTCTTTAATATAAATATGAAATTCTGCTAAAATAAGTATTGTTTGTAAAAGTAATGAAATATCGATACATGTTGAATGAGTTACAATTATACATAAATTGTTAGCATGTTAAATTTAAATTGCTTATAATTTAATATAAAACGAAAAAATATAAAGCGAAAAATCTAGTATTATCACAATTGGAGGTTTGCATTAATATATGAAACATTTAAATGCATATATATAAAATCTTAGATTGTTACATATTCCTCATTTACTTACACTATGTTTTGCGATGTTTCCCAATTATTTTGTGTAATATTTTATAACTCTATTTCAAACACTCCTTAATTACAGACTTAAAGAAAGATTATTATTTATAGAGAGCAAAGGAAAATTTCAAACAAGATCGTTTGGAAGAGGATCCAAAGAGCAAAAAATTACCAATTTGCTGAGAAATGTTGGGAAAGTTGTGAAAAATCAAGGCAAACATATGAGTGTGATCATTCTCAGATATTTGCATTGATTTTTGACAACTTTCCTAACATCTCTCAGCATATTGATAGAGAGCACGATTCATTTACGACATATGATACTTTTTATATATTTTCTCCTCGTCAAAAGTAAAAAACGATCCAATAAAAAATAAGTTTGACATTGAAAGCCATAACAAAGTACAATTTTGAAGCTACTTTTTTAAATAGATCTTCATTGATCCGAAAGTGTAGAATCATGTTGCAATGATCATGACATATAATTTTCATATATTCTGTACAATGTTTTACACCTGTACTTGTTGATAGAGAAACATGAGAAAAAGGAAAAACAGTACGGAAAAACAAAGGAATTGTGAATTTTCTTCTAGAAGTTGACAGTAAACTTATTTCTGTTAAAACTATACGTTATTACTTATATTATTTAATTGATTGAAGGTATTTGGAGAACCGCCTCATTATTTCAGATCTCCAAAAAAGCAATATGTTCCTTGAGCGATTCACTGCCAATGAGTAGTAATACGATCTAATTAAAATTTTTTCGCGAGCCTATACTAAATTTCCAAGTTGCCACTTAGCATCTCTGAATGATACATGATTGACCTAAGTTAGGCTTGGAGAACATCTTCCCCGCCTTCGATTCTACTCCGCAATCAATTCCCCTACCATTAGGCTATTCTTTGCTAATATTGCTTTCCTCACCGTATTGACAATAATAGGCACACGCATATGCGCATGCGCACACACCCCCTCCTGCTTGATATGACGCATGAGTGGGATGAAGTAACAGGCATAGGTATGGGGGGAAGTAGTAGACACTATGTGGCCCACGGGTCTTCTGTTCCGTAAGCCTGCAATAAGGTATCCAAATGAAAGTTTCTTTTAGTCCTTAGTCCGATTCTTGCGACCGTGCTAATCGTCGTATTTTAATGAAGCCGGTCACGATATTGAATTTTTGATAAAGCCGTCTCTACTACATCTCATTTGTTTCTACCATTAATATGTTAAAGGTCGGTTGTAAATTGTGACTGACGTAGGTTTAAATGCCATCAAATTTAATTCTAATAATACTTTTTCTACAAAACTATTTAAAATATATAAAACTATTTAATATATATAAAA